CGGGGGTAGAGAGACGGGCAGATAGCATGCACGGGGAGCTGGCTTTGCCCCCTCCCTGTGGCCACTGATTCCCCCCTGCCCTCCCTCCAGTGCCTCGCTGCCTCTGATACAGAGTCAGCAAAGCAGAGCAGGGCAGCAGCCAGTTAAGTCAGCTTCCCACATGCGATGATTCCCACTTGCAGCACTGCTCCTGGGGTGCTGGCTGCTGCCCTACATTGAGCACAGGGCAGCAACCAGCTCCCTGGGAGCTGCGTGTAATAGGGATGTTAGATACAGTTTATTTTAGTAATTGCGTAGCAACAATAATTTTTAGTGGTTACATGGTTACTAAAATGCTCCTGGGGATGGGGTCAGCAGCCTGTGTGCTGCCAGCTCCCTGCCCCTCTCTCAGGGAGCCCCCTGCAGCAGAGCAGCCTCTGTCAGCTGGGAACCCAGGCCCACCGCTGCAGACAGGCTGTTGCCGCTGCTGCCTCTGATATAGAGGGAGCAAAATGGGCGCAGCAAGTGGTAGCTGGTTTTTAAATCAGCTCCCCGCACAGACCAATTCCCACCTGTCGCCCCACGCTGCCTGCCTTTATATCAGAGGCAGCAGCATGGGATGGCAGATGGCTCCCTTGCATGCTCTTCATTTAAAATACAGGCCAGTGGGCTGGGACTGAGCCAGTCTGCCAGTCCAAGTTTCAAATGCAGAGCAGCCTGCTGGTCTGAGTTTCAAATGCAGAGCCCGTGGCAGGGGTGGTTGTGCTGTTGATCAGGACTGTTAACCAAAAAGTAATTGCTTATCAGTTAAACTGTTAGCTGACTAGCCACTAACATCCCTTGCGTGGAATGGGTTACCCAAATGGTTATCTGTTACTTGTTTGAACAGTTGTACTCTTACATCCCTATCTGGTGCTAGCATGCTGTTCTGCTAACAGGACTGCTGAGAACAGGCTGAAATATTACCTGCTATAATGGGTGAAAGAGTAATGAACATTTTGTGTGTGTGTGTGTGTGTGTGCGCGCGCGCGTGCGCACAATTTGCCTTCCTTCTCCTGTCTCCTAACCAGTTCCAAGTGGAAGGATTTGAAGTTAAAATGATATGCTCTTTTAAATTTTATGAAGCAGTGAGAGAGAGATCTTAACTGCTCTATTTTCTCTGTTTTATAGAATGGAAAAAGTGCTATTAACTGTGTAGATGTTGTCTTATAATGAACTGTGTCATCTGCCAAAAAGTAAACCAATAGAAAATATGTGTTAGAATCAGATCAAGAGTCCATACCCTGAAACTGGTCTAGTTTATTTAAACTGTTATGCTGAGCTTGTACTTGATTGTCACATCTTAAAAGTCAAGTTTTCTTTCTTCAGGCTGGAAGTCAGGACACCCTAAACAGCATAGCACTGAAATTTAACATCACTCCAAACAAACTTGTGGAACTAAATAAGCTGTTCACACACACAATTGTTCCAGGACAGGTAATTTTAAAAAAAGTTTTAAATGCTCATAAATTCTGATTGCTGTGTATTTAACGGGCTTTTTTTGTCAGCTCAGTTAGTTTTTATTAGATATATGCAACAGCGATAGGCAACAATATAAAACCTCAAAACGGAAGTAGCTCAGATGGTTACAAGAATTGGTCCAGGGACTGATTCTTGCCAAGTCTTCTTTTATTTATTTCAGGCTTATTGTGTTACCTAAACTTTGTTCTGATGCTGAAGGAGAAAATGTCTGTCTTGTAGGACCAGTAGACTTATTGGAAAGCCATAAATACTGTATAATGCACTCATGGGAACTAGATACATTAGTTGGGATGGCCCGTTGGCTTATTTTGAAGGTGATTCTTTCAGTCTCCTTCAGAGGGTAAGTAAACAGATACAGCCTTATAGGATAGCCTTTTGCCTCTGAGTGCTTCTCCCAGCTTGCAGGTGTCATGGCTCTGGGGCAGCATGCTATGTGGTCTGCCTCATCAACCCCATGGGTTACAGCTCCCCAGGTCTGCTGGCTCCTCAGGATGCACACTTGGGAGTTTAAGCAGCTCCAGAAGCCAGCTCGTTGAGGAGTAAGAAACTCTGGGCTACCTGTCCCAGAGGCAATCTGCATAGCAGGTCTGCCCAAGAGACCTAGATTCGGGGAGCCCCCAGCAACTGCTATGTGAAATTGACATCCTGATCAGCTTCACTGCTTCTAGCCAGTCAGCTGCTGCTATCCCGGGAGTTAGATTTGAAAACGCTATGTGTTGATTTTTCAGAAACTGAGGTTTGTTCAGAATTTCAGGTGTGCAAGAAATCTTGAGCATTTAGTTTTATACTGAGTCGGAACAAACCAGTTTTTGAAATTTCTTGCTAACCAGAAACCCTGAGTTTTGCCCAGCTGTAATGGTGATGACAATATACAAAGTACACTTCACGAGTAGATCTCAAAGCAACTTCTAATTTATAAGCTGGAAACTTATAAACATATAGAGTGAAAAAGTATCACCTGTCCTCATTTGACAGACGGGGAGACTGAAGCACAAAAGTGATATGACTTGCCTAAAGTGCCCCAGTGGGCAGAGTGAATTCATGTACAGGGACACCTTCAGATTTTATCAAAATGAAAATAATACTGTGGGTTCAGAAAGTTTTGTTTTAATTTTTCTTTTTGACAATTGAAGGTATATTTCTCTCTCTACTTGTTTAGACGTTGACACTGACAAATGGTTGTGCAGTTTTATTTTTAGGGTCAGATCATATACTACTAAATGCTTGACTGTTTGTAAGAGTAACATTTCTGTTAACATTAGATTATTTTAAAAAAAAGTTTCCAAGGACCTCACAGTGTTCTGTTACAGTTTCTCTAGAACTAAGAAAAGTTTTTTCCTCTGACATAAATATGGCTTAGAAAATTCTTATTGCAAAACATAATTTTCTGTTACTTCTAGCTATTAAATTTACAGTTGTTGATTCCTCCAGTGGTTTCTCCTTTTGGTCCAATTTTTGCATTTATAGGCATCTGCTGCATTAACCTACATAAACTATCTTGTGGTAATTTCTGTGTTAGTTTACATAGGAAAGAGAGGTCATTATTCTTTTAAAACTGGTGTGTGCTGCTGCTTTTCTCAGAAAACAATATATAGACCCTGATCCTGCAGCAAGACTCATATGGAACCCCACTGACAACAAACGTGGATTTTAGAAGAAACAAAATACAGGACTATGTAGCACTTTAAAGACTAACAAGATGGTTTATTAGATGATGAGCTTTCATGGGCCAGACCCACTTCCTCAGATCAAATAGTGGAAGAAAATAGTCACAGCCATATATACCAAAGGATACAATTTAAAAAAATGAACACATATGAAAAGGACAAATCACATTTCAGAACAGAAGGGGGGTGCTTATGATGGAATTGGTCAAAGACTTTTAGAAACTCCAGACACTACTTGTTTCTCTTTCAACCATTGTTTTGACTGCACTCCCAAAGAATTCTTGTGCCTATAATTATCTTGTCCACTTAGGCATTCTAGGCTGAATGCTCAAAAGGAGTTAAGACATTTTGACACTGAGCATGACAGCACCTAACTTTTAGGGGAATGGGGAAAGATAGGCATTGTAGACTGAGATTTACAAAAGCCAGCATACAAGGCATGGAGCAGCTTAAGATAGCCATTGGTTGATACTGATGCCTCTCTGAAGGAGATAGGTGTCTAAATGCAGGCTGCAAAGAGATGTCTATCTCTGCCGATGATTCTTAAGTTAGGACCCCTCTTTGGAACTGGGCACCTTATCCTGGCTTATTTCTAAAATAGCATGACAACTTTGCTCATAGCTTTTAGACCAGAGGAGAGGACTCCTACCAAGAAGAGCTCTAGTCTGAGTCCCTTCTCTATCTTAGGGGGAGAAAGATCCCTGTTCAAATCCTATCATCTCTTGGAGGGCTGCTTTCACCACTAAGCTCTAGGACATTCTGGCTGAGGATTTCCTCAGTCACTCCCAGGGAGGCTGTTGCACTCTAGCTAAACAGGTCCTGAGTCTTCAACAGTCTGGGTGAGTGGTTTAAATTCCAGACTCAAGAATGTGGGTGTTCTATTGTTGGTTTTCTTGGGTCTGTCTTGTAGTAGATGGTTTCTAGGTATTCGTTTGGCTCTTTCAATTTGCTTTTTTATTTCTCTGGGTGGGTAGTTGAGGTTTATAAATGCTTGGTAGAGATCCTGAAGTTTCTGGTCTCTGTCTGTGGGATTAGAGCAGAAGCGGTTGTATCGAAGGGCTTGGCTATAGATGATGGATCGTATGGTGTGTGCTGGATGGAAGCTGGAAGCATGTAGGTAACTGTATGAGTCAGTGGGTTTTCTGCAGAGGGTGGTGTCTAATTTTCCATTGATGATTTGTACTGTGGTGTCCAGGAAATGGATCTCTCGTGTAGAATGGTCCAGGCTGAGGTTAATGGTGGGGTGTAAGTTGTTGAAATCTCTGTGGAATGTCTCCAGTGTTTTTAGAGATATTCCAAAATGTGTCTTGCAATATGATGTATATTGTCAATACTAGGGATTTGAATGGTTAACTGACATCACCCTTACCGAGTGATGCTTACCAGTTATGGTTAATGGACAGGCTGGAGCAGCCCTCCTTCATCCCCCGACTATTCCCATTTAAGCAGTTAACCAGGTAAGCATAACGTTTAACCAGTTAACTGATTAAATGGTATTTTATATTCCTAAACAATACCAGACTATCTTTGTTGGGACTCCTGCATGGATCTTATTGCAGAATCAGGACCACTATGTTTCTGTTGCACGTGTTTCTCTTTTTCTTTTTTATGTAATTATTTTAAAATAACTTATTTTGCGTTTATTGTAATATTTTTACAGGTTCTCTACGTCCCAGATACAGACCACTATTCCAATGCTGCTAAGCTAGCTTCTTCCAGTCCTGGTGCTCCTGTTTCTCCTTCATCATCAGATGCTGAATATGATAAACTTCCTGTAAGTAGATCTTACATTTCTCTTTTTCTTTTTTATGTAATTATTTTAAAATAACTTATTTTGCGTTTATTGTAATATTTTTACAGGTTCTCTACGTCCCAGATACAGACCACTATTCCAATGCTGCTAAGCTAGCTTCTTCCAGTCCTGGTGCTCCTGTTTCTCCTTCATCATCAGATGCTGAATATGATAAACTTCCTGTAAGTAGATCTTACATTTTGAAGTTCAGGTTGTAGCCTATGAAATAGTTACTTTTGATGAGATTGCAATTGGGACATTGTAGAAAACGACAATAAAACTGACTGGGTTTGAGCCAGTTGTTCCTGGTCATTTAGATGTTTCCATGTTGATATTTACAAAATTATACCATTTCCCTCCCAGATCTGTGGCTAACTATGAGAGAGTTGAGACAAGAATGGGGTGTTACTTCTCAGTCGTAGGATTTGATCCATAAAAATGGAGTCCTAGCCAATAGGGCTGTATGTATCCATCCTTCCATGTCAGTCAAATTGCAGAATTGGGCCGTGGTGTATCTCACTGGAAACATTAGCTTAGGTATCTCACTGGAAACATTTGTATTGGGTGGTTTTGTTTATTTCTTGATTTCCTGTCTAGCATTTATGTGGAGCTAATCTTTTTTTATAATGTTATAAACAAAACGTGGTCCCATGCTGAGTAGAATATGAAATATAAATCTGGCTATGATTTTTCCTTTAAACCAAAAATAAAATTATCAATGGACCTCAGTCATTAATTTTTCAAAATCTAAGAAAATGTCTGTAAAACTGGTTCTGTGTGGCATTGAGGCTTTTATTTTTTTAAAGGATGCTGACTTGGCAAGAAAGGCCTGCAAACCAATTGAGAGGGTCTTGTCATCCACCTCAGAGGAAGATGAACCAGTAGTTGTTAAATTTTTAAAAATGAACTGCCGTTATTTCACAGATGGTAAGGTAAGTGAACCTTGGGCCATGTGTAAGTCAGCGGCTGACAGCTGAGTTGGGAGTCAGGACACTTCTGTTTGTTATTCCACACTGTAGTGACTTATAGAATCATAGAACACTAGAACTGGAAGGGACCTCAAGAGGTCATCAAGTTCAGTCCTCTGCCCTCATGGCAGAACCCAGTACCATCTAGCTCATCGCTGATAGATGTCTATCTCACTTGGTCTTAAATATCTCCAGAGATGGAGATTCCACAACCTCCCTAGGCAACTTATTCCAGCGTTTAACCACCGTGACAGTTAGGAAGTCTTTCCTAATGTCCAACCTAAACATTCCTTGATACAGTTTAAGCCCATTCATTGCTTCTTGTCCTATCATCAGAGGCCAAGAAGAACAATTTTTCTCCCTCCTCCTTGTGACACCCTTTTAGATACCTGAAAAGCACTATCATGTCCCCTCTGTATTCTCGTTTCCAAACTAAACAAGCCCAATTCTTTCAGTCTTCCTTCATGGGTCATGTTCTCTAAATCTTTAATCTTTAATCTTTTTTTTTTTTCCTCCTCTTCTCTGGACCTTCTCCAATTTCTGCACATCTTTCTTGAACTGTGATGTCCACAACCGGACACAATACTCCAGTAATTAGGCGTCAGTTGCAGAGCAGAGCGGAAGAATGACTTCTCGTGTCTTGCTCACAACACTCCCGTTAATGCATCCCAGAATTTGCAACAGCGTCTCACTGTTGACTCATATTTAGCTTGTGGTGCACTATGACCCCTAGATCTCTTTCTGCCATACTCCTTCCTAGACAGTCACTTCCCATTCTGTATGTGTGAAACAGATTATTCTTTCCTAAGTGAAGTACTTTGCATTTGTCCTAATTAAACTTCATCCTATTTACCTAAGACCATTTCTCCAATTTGTCCAGATCATTTTAAATTATGACCATATTCTCCAAAGCAGTTGCAACCCCTCCCAGCTTTGTATCATCTGCAGACTTAATAAGCGTACTCTATGCCAATATCTAAATCGTTGATGAAGAACTGCTCCCAAAACAGACCCCTGCGGAACCCCACTTGTTATGCCCTTCTAGCAGGATTGTGAACTGTTAATAACTACTCTCAGAATATGTCTACACTACAAGGTTTTTCCGCAAAAACTGGCGGAGCGTCCACACCTCAAGTGCATTTTTGTGCAAAAAAAAAAAAAATACAGTAAATCTATAAGACAGAGCGCTTTTGCTGGTAGAGTTATTCCTCTCCCCACTAGGAATAACTCCTTTTTGCGCTACAGCTCTTGCGCAAAAAGGCATGTGTGGATGCTCTGCAGGGGTTTCTTACACAAAAAGAGCCTATCAGAAAAAGCGCAGGTGTTTCTTGAGCAAGAGCGTCCATGCAGTGTGGACACTCTCTTGCGCAAAAGCACATTGCTTTTGCAATGCGCTTTTGAGGTGTGGACACGCTTTTGCAGAAGAGATCTTCCGCAAAAAGCTTCTTGCGCAAAAACGCTGCAGGGTAGACAAAGCCTCTGAGAATGGTTATCCAGCCAGTTAGGCACCCACCTTATAGTAGCCCCGTGTAAGTTGCATTTACCTAGTTTATTGATAAGAAAGTCATGCAAGACTGTATCCGATGCCTTACTAAAGTAGACTCTAGTTATACCACGTCCACTGCTTCTCCTTTATCCACAAGGCTCGTTATCCTATCAAAGAAAACTATCAGATTGGTTGGAGACAATTTGTTCTTTACAAATGCATGCTGGCTGTTACCTATCACCTTATTATCTTCCAGGTGGTAGATGAATTCCTTAATTACTTGCTCCATTTTCTTTCCTGGCACAGAAGTTAAACTGACTGGTCTGTAGTTTCCTGGGTTGTTCTTATTTCCCTTTCTATAGATGGGAACTATATTTGCCCTCTTCCAATCTTCTGGAATCTCTTCTGTCTTCCATGATTTTTCAAATATGATAGCTAAAATCTCAGATACCTCCTCTTTCAGCTCTTTGAGTATTCTAGGATGCATTTCATCAGGAGCTGGTGACTTGCAGAAATCTAACTTTTCGAAGTGATTTGAACTCCTTTTTTAAAAATTTTTTATCTTCTAAACCTATTCCATTCCCACTAGTATTCACTATGTTAGGCATTCCTTCATTATCAGACTTCTTGGTGAAGACTGAAACAAAGAAGTCATTAAGCACCTCTACCATTTCCAAGTTTCCTGTTACTGTTTCTCCCTCTTCACTGAGCAATGGGCCTACCCTGTCCTTGGTCTTTCTCTTGTTTCTAATATATTTATAAAAAGTCTTCTTGTTTCCCTCTGTCTGTAGCTAGATTGAGCTTGTTTTGTGCCTTTGCCTTTTTAATCTTGCCCCTGCATATCTGTACTGTTTGCTCATATTAATCCTTTGTTATTTATCCTAGTTTCCACTTTTTATATGCCTTCTTTTTTTATGTGCACCTTATGTCCATTTACCTGTTACAGTGATTGTGTGATGGAAGAATAGCTCTTCACTCCTACCCAGCTTCTTTGCCTTACAGGCTTTTATTGGAAAGTCTCCTTTCAAGAACTATGGGGAGGGGAGAGAGTGTGGGAGGAAATTAATCTGACAGGAAAACCAAATTGCAGTACCAAATTGCACTTCAGAGTTCCACTAATCATGAGAGGCAAAATGCCTGAGCAGCAACTGACAGATTCCATGAAACTACAGGATCACTTTAGAAAATGGACAAATGTCCGTGTGTGTTTTATTTCACGTAGTTCACTTTTATTTCCCTTCTCCTACTGTTTTGTATGTGAATTTACTCACATTCAGGGCTCTGGCATTTTCTGGTTCTCAATAGATGTGGAATATGCATTTAACCAACTTGGGAGATTTTGTAGACAGCATACAGGTTGGACATCTATAAACTAGACTTCTCTGCTCTGTCATCTGTGGGTGCTCTGGGGATGGAGCATTCATGGGGAAAAGCCAGGGTCCCTGTGCTCAGTAACCCTTCCCCATCCTCCCAGAGCTTCTGGAGCACCACAAATAGCTCATTTGTGGCATTCAAGCTCAGGGGGTAGGGACAGGGAGGACTGGGGGTGGCCTAGAGGAAGAGGCAGGGTGGAGCTTCGCTGTTGGCTGTGGGGCTGTGCTGCTGGCCACCAGCCACAGAGCTCTACAGCCGCCCTGTCTCTTCCCTCCAGTGTTTCCCCCTCCCGCCCACTCTGTCAATGCTGGCTCCTCTGCTGCCCCCAGCGTGGAGCCCTGTAGCCAGTGGTATCAGAGGGGCTGCCATTGACTTCCCTTGGTACAGCAAATTCCTTGGTTTGGGACCAGTCAGGTCCCACAGGAGCTGGACCAGGAGGCTTCAACCTGTACTAGCATGTCTTGTGCAGAAATTTGTGTAACACAGTGCTTTCTTTTATGAAGCTTGTTTAAGATTGAGTTCCATTTCACAAAATATATAACCAGTCAGTTTCTTTGAACTCTCTCTAGGCTTTAGAAGCTAAAAACAGCTTCAGACCTCAGCAGTCAGCAGTGGACTTTGTTCTTGGCAGCATATCTTCAGACGGAGCCTAATGTAGCCCTGTTTCCTCTTTTGCCTAAATAGAAAACTTGGCCTAGTTATGTGGCATTCTGCTGACTGTATTGAGAACAGTAACCTAGATACTTGTGAGTCTGAGGCCACATCTCCACTTACCAGAGGATCAATGCTCTGGCGATTGATATTCCGGTGACATTTTTCCCATCAACTTCCCACTGTGGATATGGCACCATGCCCAGCTTAAAGTATTTTGACTCATCTACATTATTTATGTCACTGGAGTTGAGTACCTTAAGCCAACCTTCCCTCCGCAGTGTAGACGTGGCCTGAGTGACAGAAATTCCCTCCAGGTACACACACATCACACAGAAGAAGTATGTGCAAAGTATATCTTGCCTTTGGTCCACAAACTAAAGGCAACATATGCTCCCTGATATCTTATGGTTAGTTTTCTCTCTCTTCCTCTGGCTTCCTAGCCTCCACTGGCATGACTTGCTGGTTGACTAGCCTTTTCCTTAGTGATGCTTCAATGTTATACAATATAATCTTGTCATTTAGACTATACGATAATTGTCATAATTTAAGATCAGATGCAGTATTAGCTGAAAATATGGTCATGTTTGTAGCTCACAGGACATACTTAAGAGCCTCATACCCAGTTGTGGGAGACAGAAATCTCACCTAGAATTAGGGTTGTGAAATCCTATTAAATGTTAACTGGTTAAATTCTATGTGTTTAACCAGTTAACCGGCCTGTTGTGTGCAGGCCCAGACCAGCTGGGGCTATTCTGTCCAGGCACTGGTTAACTGGTTGCCTTTGTAAGCATGCCAGTAAGGCAAATGCTTACCGTGTAACTGGTTAACCATTTACATCCCTACCTGGAATTCTCCCAAGCGGCTAGGTGTCCTGAGCTAAGGTAACTGTTGGTTACAGGTCTGTTCACTCATTTATCCAACCCGGTAATTTCCAAGACTTAAAAATCATTTCCACGGCAGTGTAAATTGCCAGCTTAGCTAGTGGTATCATTGAAGGGTGAAGAATGGAATTACCTTGTTGTGTCATATTTAATGTGCCAGGAAAAGATTTTTCTGTGTACCAGATGCCCCTTTCAGGAAAACAGATGTGGAACCCAAGATTTATCTGCTGTCAGTAAAACAACCTTTGCATGTTCTTATTACTGGGATCAGGACCAGATTAAGACCCTTAGAGGCCCTAAACACTGAAAAGATTATGATGCGACGCCCCCCCCATATGTAATTCAAAATAAAAACAATACTATACGGTAAAATCTCTCCCTTTTTTGTGTGCGTGCGTGTGCGCGCACGCGCCCCTGCTTTGCTGGTGCCCTAAGTACGTGCTTAGTCTGCCTATTGGGTAATCCAGCCCTGACTGGGATGTGTGCAGAATTCTGCGCCAGCAGGGCTGCTAGTACATATTAAGGATGTTAAGTATCGACTAATTGAATAGTTGATGCATTTTGCATCAACTATTTGATTAGTCGATAGGGTGGCTCTGCCTTTGAAGCGTAGCAACAGCCTTAGGCTGTTGCTATGCTTCAAGCTGGAGACTTCCCAGCTTATCCCAGGCACCATGCAGTGCTGCCTCTTTGAAATGCCATGAGGAGTCTGACACCGGACTCCCCACAGCATTTTAAAGCGGCAGCACCGCATGGAGCCCGGGGTCAGTGAGGGAGTCCCTAGCTGATCCCAGGCTCCACATGCTGCGTGCAGTCGGGACAACCCAGCTGGGCCCAGAGCTGCATGCGGCATTTCAAAGTGGCAGCGCCATGTGGAGCTGGGATCTGGCCCCAGTCTTCAAACAGCACTGACACTTTGAAGTACCTTTACTACCCCCCTAGAGGCAGCAAGGGGAAGAGCAACCAGTTGACTATCCTGTTGACTATTCCTTCTCATCCCTAGTACAGATTTACCATGCAAGTATAGCCAAAATAAAAAAAGTTGTTAGTTTTAAAAGAAATAATCTTTTCTTGCCTCTGGTTAAGTATCAAGGTACAGCTCTAGTTTATAGCAGCCAGGGATGAAAGTTAAGTACTTTGAATCCTCTTTATAATACTGTCCTTGTCAGCTAAGCATTCTGAGTGTTACAAAGAGTTCTCTTTTTGCTTGTTCTTCTTTATAATACCTGGTCCAGTGCAGTTGGGAGTCAGAGCTTTTTGTTAGAAAACATTGCTCCACAGGAGAATAAAGAGACATTGGAGAGAGTATTTATATTGGGCAAGTAATTTAAAAGTTGACACTGAGCTATTCATTAAAGTGACCTAAGGTCAGTGATTAGATTTGATGTGCTAACACTCTCTTCATATGTTTTTATTATTAGGGTGTAGTTGGGGGGGTCATGATAGTGACTCCAAACAACATCATGTTTGACCCACACAAGTCGGATCCACTGGTAATTGAGAATGGCTGTGAAGAGTATGGGCTCATCTGCCCTATGGAGGAAGTTGTCTCGATAGCCCTCTACAACGATATCTCTCACATGAAGATTAAAGATGCCCTGCCATCGTAAGGAGTGGTCTTTGCTGATTGTATTTGCATGGTATCATCAGGAGAGGGGAAACCAAAAAACGAAAACAGAGGTTTGGTGGGAGGAGTGAAAAGAGTTCACCGGGAGAGAGAATTAACCGAGCCTTAAGGGAAAAAAAGGCGGCGAAAGGCAGAAAGGCGGTGATGTCATATAAAACCATGGTTCTCAACCCTGGGGGTACACAGAGGCCTTCCCCAGGGTCTATAATAGGGGTGGATCTGGTCCGCAGGATTAGTCCCTGGCGGGCCCCCACCTCCATGTTTACCGGCACCTCTGCTGGTATTGGAGGATCGAAGCTCTGGTTGACCACAAATCGCCATTCGTGGCCAACGCAAGTGGCAGGAAATGGTGTCCCAGACCGTGGCACTTTCTGCCGCTCGCATTGGCCGTGAATGGCGATTTGAGGACAACCAGAGCTGCGATCCTCTGATACTTGCTGAGGTGCAGGTAAACATAGTGGCAGTGGCCCGCCAGGGACTAACCCTGCGGGCTGCCGTTTTTTTATTGCTCACTCATGGTCTGTCCACTCATCTAGATATTTGCCTACAACAGGGTCCATAAAAACCGTAGTGAAGTCAATACAAACTAAAATTTCATAGAGACAATGACTTGTTTTTACTGCTTTACATGATATACACTGGAGTGCAAATATAATATTTAAATTCCATGGTGAAAATGAGAAAATAAATTTTCAGTAACACTTTCCTGTGACACTTTTTTGTATTTTTATGTCTGATTTGTAAGAAAGTTCTTTTCCAATGAAGTGAAACTTGGGGAGTACACAAGACAAATCAGACTCCTGAAAAAGATACATTAGTCTGAAAAGGTTGAGAACCACTGCTATAAAGGATGAAGGCAAATAAACTTTTCAACAGCAGAAAAAGAGAGAGATAAAAAGGTATACACTACATAGAAGACAGAGGACAGTGAAAATGTCCAGGGGCAAAAAGAGAACTGGCACATCACAGATCATGTTTAGGTTTATGTGATTCTTGTGGGTTAGTTTCTACAACTGATTGAAGCCCCCCCCCAGAAATGTGTTCCATTATTTTAATGCAAGGGAGGTGACTATAGAATGTTACCGATTAGCTTTTGTTCAGATTTCTTGCTGTTGCTATTGTGACTACATTGGTTAATGGATCAGGTATTTTTAGACATTACTGGTCACAGCAGCAGGTAAATTCCTACCTCCACAAATCTCCAAAATATCAGTTCTCTCATGAAGGATTCAGAAATCATAATTCATGTAATTACTTCTGATACATAGCAGTATTTTCTTAGCTGGTATTCTTAGCTAGTATTTTCACTTACATTTAGTCAGTTGTACCTTGATGAAAAAAGCTGTCCACAGGTTTGTTCTAGAAAACAGCCTGGCTTCTCAATGCAGATAACCAGGTTTCACTGTTAAAATAAATATTTCATCTTCCCTCTTTTCTCCCTACCCAACAAAAAAAAATAGTCCTAGCATATCAGCCATTCAGAACAAAGGCAGCTGTTCCTGTACAGCTGTATAGTGGTGATACAGTCATGTTGTAAGACTAATATTTTGCCAGTTATTTTTAATAAATATTGTGGACGAGTCAGAGTCAATAAAAATTCACAGAAGTCCTCAACCTGTCTATGACTTTTGTTTAAAATAATGAGGTAGGTCCCCCCCACACACACACCTTTGGGGCCCTGGGGCTGAAGTGGAAAATGTCACAGAGGTCTCTGAAAGTAATGGTATCCTGACCTCCATGACACAATCTGATGCTTAGTCATACGGTTTCCTGTCGTATCGTTTTTTGATCTCTATATGGGTATGTTTACACTTGCCCCCTAGTTTGGACTAGGGAGGCAAATGAAGCGTTCCGAAGTTGCTAATGAAGCGCGGGATTTAAATATCCCCCGCTTGATTAGCATATTTGCAGCCGGTCGCCATTTTAAAATTCCGGTTGCCCAATTTAACTTGACACTGTTACTCCTCATTGCATGTGGACAAGTTTGCATGAGGAGTAACAGTTAATTCGAGGGAAGGGTTTTAAATCAGACTACCGAGTCTACACGCAGCAAGTTAAATTGGGCGACTGGAATTTTAAAATGGCGACTGGCCGCAAATATGCTAATCAAGCGCGGGATATTTAAATCCCACGCTTCATTAGCAACTTCAATATGCTTCATTTGCCTCGCTAATCCAAACTAGGGGGCAAATGTAGACATACCCTACCATACTTGCTATCCCACTATCTTGGTGGGAGAATGTATAAGCTTTCATTACCTGTTCTCATGCTCTTTAAACTTGACACATGTGAATAACGAAGTAAAGAAAGACCTTGAGCACTATGTCCTTTTATTTCCAAGATTTTCCTACTTTGATGGCTTGCCTCACCCATCCCTAAAGTTTTTAGGAAAATCCCTACAGTCAAATGGGGAAATAACAGGCAATAAGAGTGACTTGTGCTTTTTAGAGCATTTACAACTTTAAAGTTGCGTAAGTGCTTAAAAAATGTAGAGGTTCTCACTGTGGTTTGCTGTGCTTTTGCCGGAATGCTACAAGAGACAGGAACGTTGTCCCAGACCAGACGTAACACTCTTTTTTTTTTATATATATGTATAGTTGAGAAGAAACACAGTAAGCAGAGCTAAATCCTTAGTTGGTGCAAATCAGTGCAGGTCCTTTAACTTCAGTAAAGCAATGCTATTTTACATCAGGTTGAGTATCTGGCCTTATTTTTTTATTATTGGATGTCTGATGGCACATACTGTATTAGTTACATATGTACAATTTCTTCCCCCACACTCTGCAGAATTATTCATCTTTTACTTCCCACAGTTTATTCATTTTGAAACCACTTATTTCAGCTGGCTTATATTTTATTTTCAAGAAAGCCATTTTTTGTTTGGTTTCATTGTTTAAAATCATTTTGACATATTTTAGTTGTTTTCTTTGCCATTTTGTTTCGTTTCCATTTTGTTTTTAACATCCCATGTACATCCATCATTTCTCCTGACAGTGACATTCCAAAGGATCTTTGTCCTTTGTACAGGCCAGGAGAGTGGGAAGACCTTTCCTCTGAGAAAGATATCAATCCTTTCAGCAAATTCAAGTCCCTGAGCAAGGAGAAGAGGCAGCAAAATGGGGATGATTCCAAATCAATAAAGCCTTTGGATAAGAAGTCAGCAGATCTTGAACTACTTAAGCCTTCTGACAGTGCTAAGTCATTGGAACCTCCCAGTGACATGGCCTCCACCAAACCATCAGAAAGGTCCAGTGTACTGAGACATACTAAGGAGCCTTCTGGGAAAAAAGCTGCTTTAGATTCCAAAATCAAAGAACATTCCCTTATGGACAGAGAAGATGACGACTTCATTGAACTGCGAGAGACTTTATCTTATACAAATATCAAATTAGACAGAAAAGATGCAGTAACAGAAGGGGTTTCTTTTGACCCCAAGGGGCTGGGAAAAGACAGGTCACAGGTAACCAAATCTGTTTCAGAAGTTCAGGACTTACTGGCATTTGATTCCTTGGGCACAAAGAATGATGTTGAACCCAAAGCTGATCTAGACTTAGAATCGTGTGAGAAGCAAGATGTCATGCCAGAAGTAAACAAGTGTGCCAGTTCCCCTACAGATAAAGTGGAGACTACACTGGACACTCAAAAAGAGCTAGATAAAAATAAACTTATTGAATTTTACCTCAGTAAAGATAAAGATGGGCCACAGTCTTCTGAAAACCTAAGTAAGGCTGGAATTGGTGATGGTGAAGAAAACAAAGTGGCAGGTGTAGACCTCACACTTAACTGTTCAGAGTCCCAAGTTAACAAACTTCTTACAGTTAAAAGTGGTGAACCCAATTCAAGCTGCATTGAAAGTAAAGAGCCTTCACTGGAAGTCAGCCTGGCTGCAGTAGAGGAAAAGGATCTTAAAGAATCTGTGAAATCTTCATCGGTACCATCTCTGGACAAAGTGTGTCAAAAAACACAATTGGACAATAATTCAGAAATCAGACTATGGCTGTTACAGAGAATTCAAGTACCAATTGAAGGTAGGTCTCTGTCTGTTAACTGTTAGAGCTGACAGGCCATCCTTGCTATAAGTCCAAGATACGTTCCAAAAAAACTTGGACTTATAGCGAAACAACTTAAAGCAGGGAATTTTTTCCCCATGGCTGACTTCCATTTGTGCAAATTCGTGTTTGTTTTTTGTATGACTTAAGAGCATGGAATAGGGGGACTTATAACACATTAGTTCCTACACGTGTCAACAACTTTAGTGTGGAACGGATGTATACCAGGGTGATTTATAGCAGGGATGTCCTGTATTTCCTTTGTAGTGTAGTTTGGTATTTTACAGTATAAGTCTTTGGGCAATCACTTGAACATGCAGATTCTCAATCAAGAAGTAACATAGGAGAAAAAAGATGCCCTCAAATTGTTTGGGATACTGAGCTTAATAAATGGGTCATGTACTTTGTCCATGTTTAGTAACTATGTTTTGTAACACTTTAACAATAAGTTCAATAAAATACCATGCGTGCATAATGTTGACTGTGACACACAGTGGCTGAAAGATTGCTATTGTTTTGCTATGCACTGAAATGATCTGCCAGTTCCACTGAAGACTGCCCAATGCACTTCTAATGTGTAAAATCCACAGTAGAACACCGCAACATAATTACTCAAAAGTCTGTGTTCTACTTTTGTGCACACATATGCGCACACATGTTTATATTGTCTTAGTCCTTTTTGTGCTACTGGACCACCCATGAAGTGCTGTTGAGCAGGAGTATAAGCACAGTGTTGTTGAGTGACCGTTCTGTTTGTTCTGTTATTATGGACTATAGATGAACTATAGGAGTATGTTGGAAAATGTGGAATTGTCTTGAGCACAAGCCAGACTGACCTCCAGTATACATAGCATGTGTGAGATGTGTTTAAAAAAAAACCAACCTCATGAGGGCCTTATTCTCCCTTTAAAACCAGGTTAACAAATTCTGTTGATTTCAATGGATAGATCGCTGATTTGTACCAGACTAGGCGAGAGGAGAATCACATAGCTTAGGACACGCTGTGCCTAAAAAGGTCAGTGTGCCACTGACAGTTCTTGGGCGTCTCTCTTACTGAAAAGATGTCCTTCAGGCCTTCTTAGGCTGAATGTGGCAAGCTCAGAGTGACAGGGTTTCACAGTGCTATTGACTATTCCTAGAAAGAGATTGATTTTTGTGTCAGTAGCTAAGCTATCAATGCTATACCGGTCCGGGCCAGTCATTTCTTTTGTCTCTGATTCAGATATGCTTCCTTCAAAAGAGGAGAAAAGCAAGACCCCTCCAATGTTCTTATGTATCAAAGTAGGCAAGCCCATGAGAAAGTCCTTTGTTACTCAAAGCACCACCATGGCGCAGCAGTATGGGAAAAGGAGAAAGCAGCCGGAGTACTGGTTTGCTGTTCCTCGGGAAAGGTAGGCTGAAATGCATGATACAAAACACATTTGTTTCTTCATTATTTATCAGCCACATCAACAATTTTAGGGGCAAATCCTGACATCCTCTATCCTATGCCACACCTTGAACAAGTGCTAAATGCAGCAGAATGCCACAAATTGAAGAGTCTGCGTAGTGCTCTGGAGGATGCAGGGGAAGTGTATGGAGTGAAAAGGGATTGGAAGCACAAAGGAAAAGTGTACTCCTCCTTAGCAGCATGTGAGCAGAAAGATGGGGATTAAGGAATGACTGTCAAGAAGGTTCAGTTGCTGCTTCTTCCATTATTTAGAAGAGTATAAATTGTAATACATAATCTTCAACAAAGAAGGGTTGGATTCCTGTACACAGAAATTACATATTTTTTCCCCACTGAGCCCACATGTTCCTTGTATTCTGATTTGAATGAGACCACTGTGAAAATAACAACTTATCTTCTGGAAGGATATACTGAATATAGTAGTTGAATAGTTTCTTTGTTAAACTTATTCTAAGAGCCATAGCAGCAAGTTCCAGAGCCTTCATTGAAGTATCATGATTCACTTCAATTTCTAGCCTGTTAAAATATTATTTATTCCACCGAAATCTATAGCTTGTAAAGAAAATCATGTGGCTGCTATAGAGTAATTCTATCAAATGTGGACATTTCATAAGGTATTACTTCCTTGAAACCTCAAGAGTAAAGTATTTACCATAAGTCTGCATTTCAATGCAGCCATGTAAAAAATGGCATCTTTGTACTCACATCTGTTCCCAGTTTGTATTTGGAGACTCTTTTTCTCTCGGATGTGTTAGGTAACTGATGCTGTACCTTCTAAGTTTTGTTAGCAGCCTAGAGCCAACACAGCTACATGAGAGTGTGAACTGGAGCTTTTCAGGCTTAGACACAGAATTTTTTAAGTTCAAATTTCAGATTTTGTCTGTCATTTCCACTTCTGCATAACTTATAACAGTAAATATAAGCATATGTATGGTAATCAGTGAGGTTTGATTGGGGTAAATGAGGGCAGTATGGGGTTTGCATAACCTTTTACAACAAGCCAAAAGGAAGCCAACTTGATTTTTTTTAACTCCCCAGATTGAGTTTGTACGGTTGGCACAAAATCATCTTCTTACACAGCAAATTAGCTTAGTTTGTTAGTAGGTCAGTGAGCAGCAATAAATGCAGAACCTCACAATGCCAGTTATTTTAAAGGTCATTTTTCGAAGTATATTACCCATTAAGCCAAGCTCTTGATTTTTCTCCTTTTGGCAGAGATGGACCAATTTCCTAAAACTGCTTACCTGCATTTCACTGATGGATAAAAGAGCATGCTCATCAAACTTGTTGAAATAAGGCTTTAATGCAGCCAGTTACCTTAAGTCTCATTTGAAATTGCTATGTGACCTTTGCAATGGTAGAGCTTTTTCAAGCTTGAGAGCGAGCTTTTTTTTCCAGCTGCTACCACTTTCCATGCACCCTTCCCCCGACATTTTGCAGTTGGGTTGCTCCAATTGAACCACAGTTACATAACATTCAGAGCTGCTCAGTTCTATTGCTGATCCAGAAATTGGGGAGAAAGAATTAACTGCTGTAAATATCAGTGAGGGCAGGGGCGGATATAGGGCAGGGCGAGCAGGGCGGCCACCCCGGGCCCCGCGCTTCAAGGGGCCCCGCGCATGCGCCGTGTCAAAGGAGGGGCCCCGCGAAATTGTGCTACCCTGGGCCCCACAAAATCCTCATCTGCCCCTGAGTGAGGGAGTTTAAGCTGTAGTCAATTTTTAAAAAATCTTATTTTCCTAATTTTCTGATAGTTTCAGCATACAAAAAAACAAAGATTAAAATTAGCTATGTCTGGTCCATTGGTGTAATTTAAGAAAAGAGTTAGTTAAGCAGAGCAGTGGTGTGGAACTTGCTGACTCGGACGTAAAGGTTTAATCCAGCTGGAATGTTGGCAGTAGTTACATTCATAGTGGTTTCAGTTGTAGCTGAAGATAGCTTTTAATTCACTGGCTATGTGCAGAATCTAGTCTTTGCTTGGTGTGAGGTCAAGACAATTCTTGATTAAAATGTGAGCCAGCACTTCAGAATTTCAGTAATACAAGACCAGTGTTGCTTTGTAGGTGGTGTATCTAATTTAATGTTGCATAAAATGCTAAAGGTCTTTTTCTGATTGCTGATTCTATATGCTGAAGGTTAAATCTGAAATACATATTAATCTTAGCCATTCTTGAAAAATAATTTGCCTACTTGTCATTTGAGGAGTAGAAACCCTTTCTGGAGAGTGAATTTCATGTGTAATTTAAGCTATTGTTAAAAACCCCTAATTTTTTAGCCCTTTTTATTACAAAGAAATCGTTTTAAAAGTGAATCACTTCAGCCGAGTCTGCAGGCTGACAGCCCCAGTACTCTGCTTCTGCTCCTAATTTTGTTGAAGAGCCTCATGGTGAATTAGGTTAGGTGTGGCTTTCAGAGCTACAATTCAAAAACTTGACAGTTTCACTGCTAACCATAATCAGATTCCTTCCGCTATGCAATTCTTTGGGAAAGCTATGAATAGCAAATCAGGTAGGGCTATTTTTATTTCTTTCCACAGATCAAAAAAGTGATTTGTCTCGATATAAAACTTCAAGTGCTGATGAAATTATTCATTCCAAATAAACACCTATATATGCTCGATAGCTACATACAAACCCTTTCAACCTGCCAACATTGAAATTGCATTCTCCTCCATGTAACCCAGTCTTAATCTGTGTTTGATATGTTAGGCAGGGGTAGCCAACCCACGGCTTGTAAGCCGCATGCGGTTCGTGAAAAAAAAAATTGCAGCTCCTGACGGAACCATGATGGGTTCCCCACCCCTTTCATAAATAAAGACAACGCTGAAACATATGGTGTTTGACATTTTTATTTAAAAATGAAGCCTGGCCAACAAGCCCCCAATTGGGGCCAAGCCCCGATCTGGAAGCAGCATCATAACAGTCCTGCACACACATGCACGCACTCACACACACACACCAATCCCAAACCTGAGCCTATCCTACACTTGAACCCCCTGTCCTGAGCCTCTTACATCCCCAAACTCCTGCACCCTCACATCCCCAGTCTTCTGCCACAACACTCCTCCACCATCCACACACTGCAAATCTGTGTCCTGAGCCCATCATACTCCCAGCCCAAACTCCTTCACCCTTGAAGAGAAGAGAAGAGAAGAGAAGAGAAGAGAAGAGAAGAGGTTTTCTTCAAAGGCAGCCAGAGGAGGCAAGCCGCCGCTTTTTTTCTTTTCTTGTCTTTTATAACTAAATAAGCGTCCCCATACGAATCAGTGCAAGGAATGGGAGTGCCTGACTGACTGAAGGGAGAAGAGAAGAGAAGAGAAGAGAAGAGAAGAGAAGAGAAGAGAAGAGAAGAGAAGAGAAGAGAAGAGAAGAGGTTTTCTTCAAAGGCAGCCAGAGGAGGCAAGCCGCCGCGTTTTTTTTTTTTTTTTTTTTTGGTTGGTTGGTTGGTTTTTGTGTGTGTTTGGGTTTTTTTTGCTTAACAGCTTTGCCCCGGCTCTTCATGCTGTCTCCACTGCTATTGTGGCTCTTCATCTGGAACGGGTTGGCCCACCCCTGTTTTAGGCCTTGTCAACACTAGAAGATCTTCTGGAGTTCAATTCAGTGGGCTCATCTAGACTACATTCCTCTGTCAAAAGAGGAATGTAAATGAGCCCAATCGAAAATGCAGATGAAGCAGAGATTTAAATATCCTGCACTTCATTTGCATATTCATGTCCGATTGCTGTTTCAAAAAAAGGGGTTTTGAAAGTGAAACTGCAGTCTAAACAGGGTTCTTTTAATAAACACACCCTTTTTCTAAAGAACCTCGTTGAGACTGCGGGTTCACTTTCGAAAAACCCTTTTTTGAAACAGCGATTGGACGCGAATATGCAAATGAAGCGTGGGATATTTAAATCTCCGCTTCATTTGCACTTTCGATTAGGCTCATTTACATTCCTCTTTCGACAGAGGAATGTAGTTTGACAAGCCCAGTGAGTCTTAACTAGACTCACTAAATTGAACTAGGCTTGCTAAATGAAACTGCCAGCATCCAGTACTACTACTTTTGCGAGGAGTAAGAGAAACTGACTAAAGTGTTTTTTCCTGTCAACCTCCCACTATGGGGACACCATGAAGCTCAGCTTTAAGATAAGCCAACTCCAGCTACAAAGTCTACAGAGCTGAAGTTGCATACTGAGCTGCCGGGTCTAGTGCAGACCTCGTGTTAGTATCTTTGTTTTATTCATTAATACTTTAAAAAAGAAATTGTAGCCAGAATGTGGAGAAATCAGCATTCATGCCCAAAGTCACTCTGCCTACTTAAATGCCCCCATTCAACTTCAGTGAATTTGCCCTATCCTAAAATTTCTTGTAATGGTGCTGTGTACTGTTAAACAACTGCTGTAACTAACTCCACAGGTGACTTCATTTTAGTGATGGAGAGATAGTGGGAACTTAAACTGCTCCTTCCAATGTAAAAAAACAACAAATGGTCTGGTAGCACTTTATAGACTAACAAAACATGTAGATGGTATCATGAGCTTTTGTGGGCACAGCCCACTCCTTCAGATGACCGGAGTTTAGGGTGAGTACTTGCTGTGTTCATATATAGTGCAGGCACCTAGGTCTTTCAGTGTGGCACGTTTCATGAGTACCAAAGTCACATTAAAAAAAGTTACTTTGTGGTTTTCAAATTGAGTTATACCATTATGTACTTGAACCATCACTAGTGGAGACAAAACTAGGTATACAGCTTTTTTTTTTTTTTTTTTTAAAACCATTTTAAATATTTCTTTTAAAGGTTGTAAAACAAATCATGAATCCACTTTTTCTTCTCTTAATTCTTCTACTGGATTCCTTCCCGTGCAATACATGATTTATAAGTTACTGAAAATCCCAAAAATATGCCACTCCATTATCCTTGATGATGTAGTTGAGTTAATCGGTGACTCCAAGGCTGCTC